CCTTCATCTTGAAGCTTGCAAACTTCTCTTTGAGAATGTATGCCTTTGCACCCTTCACGGCTTGAGTGCCCTCAAATGATTCTTCCAACTTCTTCTAAGCCTCATGAGCCATCTCAATATTCTTGATTTGCTTAAATGTTCTCTTATCAATTGCATCATGAATGGCACTTAGAGCAATATCATTGTTTTGGAGAAGCACTTCTTTGGCCGCGGTGGGATTCTCTGGATCACCAATCTCAATTTTGATTTCTACCACCTTCCACATTTTTCTATTGATTGACTTGATATGTGTGGTCATCTTTGATTTCCAATACGGATAATTTATGCCATAAAATTGGGGTGGCTTCTCGGTGTTGTTGATTTGAGCCATTTTTACACCAAAGGTTGTTAAGCCTCAAATCACGGTGACCTCGGCTCTGATACCACTTAAAAGGTCCTAATGGCTAGAGGGGGAGGGTGAATAGACTAATAAAAAATTTTACAACAACACTTAGCAAACTGGTTAGACAATTATGAGGCGAAGCAAGTGTTGCGCTAGCCTACCAAAAGTGTAAGCCACCTACCATAATTCTAGTTGATATAGTTTCTATCCACATAATAGCTATGTCACTACACTAAGTTAGTGTGCTCTCAAAGGCTAACTAAAGAGCCACACTAACTAAACTAACAAGCTCTCACAACTAGCTACACTAAAGAGCTTGACAACTAGTTTGCGGTAATGTAAAGAGAGTGAATAAGATAGTTATACCGCCGTATCGAGGAGTGAACCAATCAATCACAAAAATCAATATCAATGAAGATCAATCACCTCGGAATCAAAGGATGAACACAATGATTTTTTACCGAGGTTCACTTGCTTACCGGCAAGCTACTCCTCGTTGTGGCGATTCACTCACTTGGAGGTTCACGCGCTAATTGGCACCACACGCCAAACCCTCAATAGGGTGCCGCACAACCAACACAAGATGAGGATCACACAAGCCACGAGCAATCCACTAGAGTACATTTTGGCTCTCCACCGGGGAAAGGTCAAGAACCCCTCACAATCACCACGATCGGAGCCGGAGACAATCAGCACCCTCCGCTCGACGATCCTCGCTACTCCAAGCCGTCTAGGTAGCGGCAACCACCAAGAGTAACAAACGAATCTCGCAGCGAAACACAAACACCAAGTGTCTCTAGATGCAAACACTCAAGCAATGCACTTGGATTCTCTCCCAATCACACAAAGATGTTGCATCTATGATGGAGATGAGTGGGAGGGCTTTGGCTAAGCTCACAAGGTTGCTATGTTAATGCAAATGGCCAAGAGAGTGAGCTTGAGCCGGCCATGGGGCTTAAATAGAAGACCCCACGAAATAGAGCCGTTGTACCCCTTCACTGGGCACAACACGGGGTGACCGAACGCTCCGGTCATATTGATCGGACGCTGGACCTCAGCGTCCGGCCACGCGATGTGTGCCACGTGTCCCCTCTCTTCAAATGTTGATCATCCGATTTCAACGGTCAAGTGATGATCGGACGCTGCAGCTCAAAGTGACCGGACACTGAACCCCAGCGTCCGGTCGTTTCCAATAAGCATCCAGAGATGACTTTTCACGACCGGACGCGCCCGGTCATGCTCGACAACTCCTCTGTGCGCTGCCACGTCAGCAGGACCGGACGCAACCCTCCAGCGTCCGGTCACTAAGTGACCCAGCTTCCGGTCAGAGACTGACGCCAACGTCACTGCAGCTTCTACTGACCGGACGCGCCGGTCCAATCGAGACCAGCGTCCGGTCTCCGTCTTTTTTGTCTAGAGCGCCGATGGCACCGTCGGACTGTCCGCACTCTCCGCCGGTGAAGTTTCTAACCCTTGCTCAAATGTGCCAACCATCAAGTGTATCACCATGTGCACATATGTTAGTATATTTTCACAAACATTTTCAAATGTGTTAGCACTTCATTAGATCCTAAATACATATGCAATGAGTTAGAGCATCTAGTGGCACTTTGATAACCGTATTTCGATATGAGTTTTACCCCTCTTAATAGTACGGCTATCAAACCTAAATGTGATCACACTCTCTAAGTGTCTTGATCACCAAAATAAAATAGCTCATACCATTTATACCTTTGCCTTGAGCCTTTTGTTTTTCTCTTTCTTCTTTTCAAGTCCAAGCACTTGATCATCACCATGGCATCGCCATCATCATGTCATGATCTTCATTTGCTTCAGCACTTGGAATGTGCTATCTATTTCATGATCACTTGATAAACTAGGTTAGCACTTAGGGTTTCATCAATTCACCAAAACCAAACTAGAGATTTCAGAATGTTATATAATGAATTTTGGGATGTTCATGTAGCATTAATGAGATATTCCACGATTATCTTTGAGTACCCGTGAGATGTTTTATGGCATTTTAGATTGTTTAAATAGTATCACCATGTGGTTTTTTGTATTTGTCCTCTATTATGTGTTTTTCTTTTCTCTTAGGCTTTGTTCTATCTTTTATGTTTTCTATTTATGTTACTTATCTACATATTTCTTAATATTTTAAAGTATTTATTATTTATTTTTTGTTTTCTATATATTATGTTATTTATTTATCTATTTCTATATATTTCATGACTCTTGTTGCTTCTTATAGATGTTATAATACTATACCGATCGTATGAACATATAATTTGTTATATTAGATCTGGATCGTTGTTCTCCTGAACCGAGAACATTTTTATTGTGAAGACGGAACATTGTTTTCTCAGCCTAGAACATTGTCTGTGTTCAATAAAAGAAAAATATTCTATCTTTATGTAATAAATGTTCGTTAAAAGAAATTATATAAAATATATCCATGTGAGGTCTTATCTCGAAGGATTTAATGCAAGAAACACGGTGGTGTAATTAGAATTCAATTTAGACGCTTAGCCTAACCGTTATAGATTTTTTTTAGTTTCTTTAGAACTATGACATCAGCACATGCAGATTGGTACTTTATTCTACAACTTTGTGGATGGTTCCCGTGTGGTTTGTAGTCAGATTTCTGTGGAAGTCTATTTATCCATTGGCCCATTATGATATACTACGGCCCACTACCATTAATTGGAGGAAGGACATGCCGCATTACTCCGCGCGCGTTGCGAGTCTGGAGGGAAATAATCATGGGCGCGTGGTTATGGTCCGGCCGGCCGGACCATAGCACCCCCCGCGCAGGAGGGCATCATGCAATTCTTTCCTCTGTGGCGCGGGTAGACATCAATCGCGGTGAAAAAAAAAACAGGCACAGGCCAGGGACCGTGGAATTTCCTACGGCAGGAACGCGCAAGATCATAAGATGTAAGCGTAAGACGTTGCATGGCCCACGGTTAGATTAATATGGACGGTTAGATTTAAAGATACTTAGTCATCTAACGGTGCTAATATTAGTGGGTAAGAAATTGTTAGGTAACAAGTATTTTTTAATTCCTTCGCTCTTTTATAGTATAGAGTAGAATATAGATATAGATAGATAGATAGATAGATTTACCAAAATTTTTAACTAAAAGAAAAGAAATAAAACTACCTTCAAAATCACTTCAAAACAAGCTAGGAAGCTGATTTGAACAATTTTGAGAGTTCAAGGGGCAAGATGTCTGATTTTATAGTTTGAGGAGAACAATTAGGCTACGACGATAATTCAGGGATGTAAAATATACTTTTCCTAATACAAACCACTAGTTCTCCAAATTATTAAAGCCCGCATGACTCTAGGCTGAAATGCTAGGCCCATTATTGTCTGGGTGTGAAGTTGTGAACAGAGGGGAAAAGGCCCAACTTGGGAACTCTGGACGGAGTTCGGTTGTTTGTTTAGTACCACATCGCGTGGACTAGCAAACACACGTCCAAAGGAACCTATAAATGGAAGCTGTGGGCATTCAGGAAAACTCATCTTTGCGCTTGGGGCAATGACGCAGCTCATGAGGTAATACCGAGGCGCGTCAATTGCTGGTTGAAAACTATTTCCAAACCCCCTCTGAGGCCCACCCGGGCCACAGAGAATTTCTGGAAGGGCTCCCTCTAACCAGGGTAAAGCTCTACAATTCTAATCAAAATTCTTTGATAAAATTGTGACACTGGAAGCCCTTAACCAGGGTAAAGACCAATAATTTTTAATCACAATTCGTAGCTGCCTGTTGACACCGGAAAGCAAATTAAAATTTTTACTACGTTCGATTCAAAAAATGCATAGGGAAATATGCTGTCCTCGGAACGAAGAAAAGAGAGCGTTTGTGATACCTGTGTGTTGCGTTGTTGCCTGACAGTTGACACAGATTTAACAAAATGCACAGATGCATAGGAAATTCTGATTACACAGATTTAGCAATTTGTGGACAAACAAAAACATATTTAACTGCCCAAAGAAAACATTGAAAAAAAGTCTTAATAACCAGTTAAACATTGAAACAAATAGTAGAGGAAATATATTTACCATCATATAATACATACAAAGCAGAAGTTAAAGGATGACCTATAAATGAGGAACATGTTCTACATATTTAACTGGACAAAGCAACTTAACTGCATACTCAAATTATTAGTGGATAATGCAAATTACCTCCTCTGAGAGCACAGAAACATTGATTCATGGCTAATCCAAAGAAATGAAGCATGATGCAAACTTTCAAGTTCATTTTAATAAAAGTTCAGTAGGGGGCAACCCCTCCTGTTTTATATATAAAAAAAGACACAATAATTCAGTCACTTCCCTTTTTGCAAATAATTCAATTACTTTCTACTAGGAGCATATTTACAAACGACTGAGCTTGCTCGACGGCATGGCAATTATCAATTTTGCAATGCTCAGCATTCCAGTGAAGGATAAAATGCCTTTTTCTTTGAACATACGAAATCGAGCTCTAGCAGTTTCTGTCATTATACCTTTTTTCTTTTTTTGCTTCAAGTCACGTTTTTTCCATCCTGTCCTTTCCTGTCTATGTACTTGGGCAGAATAAAAAACAGTAGGTGACACTATATTCTATCATGCTTGCTCATGCTGAACTGTGGTCTTCTTGCACGTATTAGATTGAGCTCCACGCATCCTCAAACTGATAATAAACGCAATGAGCTGCAAAATATACCAAGCCATTAGTGCTACATGTCAGATTTACAATGAACAAAATTGCAAAACATTTTTCATCGAAGACTTACGGTGCAAAAGCCAGCACACAAAATACTGAAACCTTTGAAGTTGAAGGGCTCTGTTTCAGAAAGAAACCATGCTGGCACAACAAAGCGAGATGAGAATTGTGCCAGCTATACCTTGCTAAAGAAATACTTGTTATTATTTATCTAATTCTATAACAAATGCTTACCAGTTAAGGGAGTAAAAACGAGGGGACCTAATATGCTTGCAAAAGAACTGATCCCAGATATACATCCTTGAGCAATTCCCTAGAAGGCAACACCACAACATAGATTTGGCAGGCAAAACACAGTAGTGTCAACTGTAAGGTAATATATGGCGAACATCATGAGTTCAGTGTTATCAGAAAATCAAATTACCTGCTCATTTGATCCGACACTTTTTGATACTTTGGTTCTTATCTATAAAAATTGAAATCACCATCAAGATTTTTTGTAGTCCCACATAAGGTAAAGGAATTATAAAAATGGCCAGCTAACAGTGGCTTACAGATGGGTAAACAAAAGCACTCAAAATTACAAATGCTGCAGCAAAATAAGGTACCTGCAAGATGATTAAGAAATAGTTAAGAAAGAAATGAATTCAGATGCTCAACAGAAGATTGGCATTAGTTCTAAACACTTGGAACACAGTGCTGAACTATGAAGCCAGCACACTTTTACAGGTTTACTTATGGAGTCATTTCACTGGGACAGGAATATAATCTCAAACGTGACCATTTAAAGAAATTGTCAAGTGCAAAGAAAGTACCCAGTATGACCATGCGATGCCATACAAGAAAACCTGCAATATTTGATGATTTATTCATTTAGCCAAAAAAAATCAAAGAATCTTCTGATTAAGAATTGAATAAAAGTCTTTCTGAAAGCTATTACATGAGTACATCCACCTAGCAGCCCAACAATAAGCAACATCTCTTCATCCAGAATCGGAGCCAAGATAGGCATTACAGTGAGCTGCAAACATTAAGTGTGAGAAAAATAAATTGCATCTCCAGAATGAATGAATACTATTGGAGTCTTGAAATGACTGAAATTCAATGCTATAGCTTCCATATCCATATAACTAAAATTCAAGCTAAGGGTGTAGTTCTAAAATCACTTGACATTTCTTTTATCGTCGTTTTGGTACCTGTGATAGCATTCCAGCAGCACCGACGATTAGAAGTAGATTAGCATACTCATTTTTGCTGTAACCGAATTGTGCCTTCAGGTAGTACTGCATAGGATTCAACCATAGATAAGCATATAAATTATGGCTAGTGGGTGCAACTGACAAAAAATAATACAATTCGAAAGTTGGTGACAAACTCCTGCTAGGCACTGAACAACAATATGCAGGAACACAATAATTTCAGTCCAACAAATTATCAGATAGGAGAATTGATACCAGCAATGCAGTCTGAAGCCCATGTTCACCTAGACTGTAAAAGAAAGTGACGATTGCTGCCCCTGACATGGCCAAACTACAGGGAGAAGTAAACCAACGATCAGTAGATTACTCAGAAACTCCAAGAGTAAACGATCCTCTAGAGACTAGAGAAGTTAGAGAGCAGAGTCACAAAAACTGTCATACTCATACACCAAGAGATTTCACCTGCCAGTGAGAAGCGCAACCATGTCGGATAGAGACGGCAGCCCGCTCTTATGCAGCGGCAGCCGAGGCGAGAGCTCTTCATCGGAGGATGATGTGGAAGAGGTGCAGGACGAATCCTGGAGGAGCGGATCGCAGGCTTCGTCAGCGCAGGAGACGCCGCCAGCGTCGGGGAGGAAGGCCCTGAGGTAGAGGGCTGACGCCACGGCCACGGCGGCGGCGACCTGGAAGGTGGATGCAGTTGGGAGGAAGCGCGCGGTCAAGGTCCCCGACACGAACCCGGCTGCCGACACGCCAGAGAGGAGACCAAACGCTGCTGCGCGACGCCTGGGCCCCACGTGGTCAGCCTGCGTCCACACACTCGACCTGGTCAAGGACTCGCCGTTTGCTCCATCACTTTTGTTAAACTGACACGTGGGCCCTATAGCAAAAAATCAGTTCGTCGCTTGTTTTTAGATTGTGTATTTTCTCACTTTTCTTATACTTCAATCGCGTGAATTTTGTGTCTGAGCGATGTTCTATGATTTATTTTGTGATGTTCACGTACGACAGTCGTCTAAATTTGTGTTTGTTGTTCAGGCGACGTGGAGTGATGTTCGCGTAGTGTACGTATAATGTTTTATGATGTATTTTGTGATGTTCCCATAATATAGCTTATGATTCCTTGTCCTACGGTTTATTATTTATTTACAGTGACAGTGTTTTATTTTTTTCGTTGGCAATATACGCACTACACGTGACCTCGATTGTTGCAGTCCGTAGATTTTACCACATAGGCAAGGCAGAGACAGTGCATGGTGCCCTCGCAGAAGACCCCGGCAATGATCTTGGCGACGTAGTACACGTAGAAGTACACCTCCATGCGGTTGCATGCCAGTATAACTGCCAAAACAATGGTGAAAATTCTCCAAATCTGAGCAGACGCCGCATGATTTTCATCAGAAAACAGGTCATGATGCAAGGTCCACTTACACAGCGGCGCGATGGCCACGGTCACCGGCAGCGTCATCAGCGCCTTCCGGCCGTACCTGTCCGACAGGTTCCCGACGATGGGGGTGACCACGAGCGCCCCCAGCCCGGTGACCTGCATTGGCCGTCCAGAACGGCGCCGGCCGGTGTCATGGATCCTGGCATCAGCCGCTCGAACTGAAGCAAACGTGGCGGCGAGGCATGCACGCGAGAATGCTCACTGCGTTCTGGAAGCCGCTGAGGTAGATGGCGACGGAGCACTCGTCGCGCCCGGGGCAGACGGCCTCCATGGTTACGTCGGTGACCGCCGGGATCACCATGAAGGAGGCGAAGTGGAACAGGAAGGTCACCACGAACAGGTGCCCCAGCCCCGCCAAGTCCTTCATCTTTGCTAGTGCAGACCAGAGAGCACTGCAGCTGCTTCTCCTCCACGAGCTGAGCTGAGGTGATAATTAAAATTGCATGCGTTTATGTCACTCTGTGCGGGTCTCTTATACCCTCACAGACGCAGGGGGGACGCCACGCTGTCGCTGCGGCTAATGACCAAGTAATACAACGCTTCCAAGTAACGACACGGGTCTCACATCAACACTTTCACCGTTGCTTAGGGCGTTGGTCTCCTGCCTGATCCCCATCAGTAAAAGGCGACATCGCCGGTTGCCGGATTCGCGCGGCGTGCCCGAACGAGGCAAGCAGCCCACTTGTAACCGCGGCCCTGTTTGTTACAGCGTCTTTCACCGGAGTGTGTGTGTGTGGCGCCGTTTGTATGGGCGTGGCGCCGCGATGGCGACCGGACGAACGGAGCTCCGGACTTCCAGTGCCTTGTACGCATGGGGCATCGACAGTGCGGGCGCGTTTTGGAGTGCACTCCACCCCACTCGCCGGGAGATGATTGGGTCCCTCCCGGTGGCTTGCTGCCCCGGAATTCCTGACGGGAATGGAAGGATGCTGTGGCGCGATCGGATCTGGTTCACCGGGCTTGGTGACCTTTGCTCTTGCTTTCGGGAAATGCTGATGAAGTGGCTACTGGCCAGTGATGAGCGATGAGGAGCCCTGTCGCGACCCCTGTGCACGGAGCACGCTCTCGTGGGTTGCGCTCGAGCCGACCTAATTTTGTCTGGTGCTAGGAGTAGGTTGCTTGTTCTGTGGGTGAAGCCAGCTGCAGTTGCCGATTCTGCTCTAAGAGCTTGATGCCGTGTCACGTGGAGACTTCACGAGTGGGCTGGGATTTTCCATGTATTCTCCTGCTGCCTGATCGAGGGGAATCTGACTGTTTTGTGCACTAGGCGGAGAATGGCCAGCTCAGGGATTTTGCTGCAAGTACTTTTGGCGAGCTCATTGAGTACACATCTGTGAGTGCATTTTTATAGAAGAAATCAAATACGCAACTGTACATGTAAAAAATTAGGTCGGCTCGAGACATTCTCGAGTTTTTCAGATGCAGAAGGATCATCATGCTGAACGAAATTGAATTCACAATTTTCGCTGTGCGAATTATATGTGTTCTTTCACCCTTTTGGAAGGAGGGTCAGATTTATTAACAGACGATTCATCAGGGGAAAAAGCGGACCGACTTCCTGAGCTTCGGGGAGTTCCCTCTCCACGTTCGGGGACAAGATCGTATTCTTTTTTGAAAAAAAAGTTCACATTATCTTTCTCAACTTTTATGAAAGTTTGCTTTTCCTCTCTAAAATTTAAATCGGGTAAACCATCACCTTGAACTTTTAAAATTGTTTGTCTTTTTTTTTTTTTTATTTATTTTGGCTGAATCTATGAAAAATCAATGTAAATCGCAGAAAATCATAAAATAGAAATTTCAATTTTGTTGGACTCCACGTGAGTAGATCTACACAGTGAATATATAATATGGTATGTTTTATTATATTTTTTTGTTGTACCTTTAGATCTATGTTTTTCTGTAATTAATTCATAACTGCAGTTTCTATGGTTCAATTGTGGTGAAAATTTTATAGTGGGCAAATTATTATATCTTGAACTGTAGTAAAAAGTTCATACTCATTAGATCATGTGTAACTTAGTTATAGATTTATAAATACTTTTTAACAAGCATACATCTAAATAAATCTATAACTAAGTTATATATGATCCAATGAGTATGAAATTTTTACTATAGTTCAAACATACAATAATAAACCCACCATAAAAATCTTCACCACAATTGGACCTTAGAAAACGCAGCTATGAATTAATTACAGAAAAAGCATAGATCAAAAGCTACAAAAAAAAAATGTACTAAAGCATATCATATTATTATACATTGTGTAGATCTACTCATGTGGAGTCCAACAATATTGGATTTTCCATTTTATGATTTTTTATTTACTTTGAGTTTTCAAAGATTCAGCCGAAATAAATAAAAAAAAAAAAGACAAAACTGCCTTTGAAAACCGTTTATAACCGGTTAGTGAGAGAAAATGAACGGTTTTAAAAGTTTAGGGAGGTGGTTTACCCGATTTTAGAGTTTAGAAAAAAAAATACTTTCATACAAGTTGAGAGAGGTAATGTAGATTTTTTCCTTCTTTTTGAAGAAAATCGAGTGGATCGTATTCAAAAGGCTGGGCCTAGGAGATGGCAGCCCAACCTCAAGTGGGCTTCGCCTACAGAAATCTGGACCGTTCCTACAAGCAATTAACCGCCGCGGCGCCGCAGAAACAGCGTAATGACATATGGACTTTTTTTTTGAGATGGTGGACTTCTAAATTTTGTGCGTGGAGACGCATACATTCCCATGTTTATTTTCTTCTTCTTTTGTTGAAGTCAATGAATGTAACGTGTCACTCAAATGCTAAGCTAGCCAGCTTGTTCCCTGTATGAACAAACGATGCTTAATCCTCAGTGGAACTGCTTGACTACTAACGTATATATATCACAAATATGCTAGCTAGACGTCAACACGACAACACCACCGATTATTATCCCAGGAGCCCAGCCCATTCTCGGTCATCATATTTTATAAGAGAAGCAGCCTCATCTGCAGCAGACTACCAACTAGGAATGAAAACGGTCGGGAACGGTCGGGAAAATGTCTTAACCATTCCTGCTCCTGTATTTTTTGGCCGGGAACGGGAACGGGAACGGGAAGGCCGGACGGGAAAACGAATCCGGTATTACGGGATATCGGGAACGGAATATTTCGAACGGAAACGCGTCGATTACGATCGGGAAGCGGTAACACAAAACGAAAACATCGATATATGTAACCACTGAAAACAGTGAGCTCGATGCAACAATAGCAACCATGCATAATCCATATGCATACAATAGCAAATAGTGAGCTCGTCAGAATATTTATGCAAAGAAAACTAAAGAACTACCAAAAAAGAAAATGGAAAAGAAAAATGAACAAAAGGCTTGCTGCTCCTGTGCTCCATGCCTCCATGCGTGAATTCCTGGGCCAACTGGCCAAGCATGGAATGATGGGCCGCATGCATGACTCAGCTCTTTGCCTCCTCTCTTCCTGGGCCAAACCTTGCTTCCTGGGCCAAACTTTGCTTCCTGGGCCAAAATTGCTGCTCCATGGGAAAAACGGGAATTTCCCGCGGGAGTTTTCCCGGACAAATACGGGATCCGCTAATTCGGTCGGGAAATCATTCTAACCGATTTCGATACCGGATTCGCCGAATTTTCCCGGATTTCTTCCCGAATCCGTTTTTTCCCGAGAAAATGATATCCGGTCGGGAATTTCAGTATTCGGTGTCGGTCGGTACGGGAATTTCCCGCTCCCGCTTTCATCCCTACTACCAACGTTATCCCTGCAAAATTATAATCGCCCCCGCACCACCAAAAAAAAAATCTTTCTCCATGACTGGACAGCAGTGGGGGTTGAGAATATTCGTCGTCCTAGCAATGAAATATGAAACGAACGCGTTGTCCAGCTCATCTAGCCGGCCACCGGCCCGTACATACTGCCTCGCCTGATCGATGATGGGGTCGCTCGTGCTCCGCACCGCCTAGCATCCACTGGGTCGAGATCGACAGCAGTAGAGCACTGAGTGCTCAACGGCCGTGGCCGTGTGGGCGCGAATTGAAGTCGGTGTGGAGGTGGAGGCCCGGCCAAATTTTATCGAGAATCGAGAACTGAACCGAAAAAACCGAGAATAGAACCGAATTTATTGAGAACCGAAATTTCGGTTCCTGTTCGGTTCTCATTTCCTAAGAATCGAAATTTGTTCGGTTAATTCGGTTCCTCTCCTCGGTTAACCGAACCACCCGAGGAACCGAACTCCCGCCTCCCGGAGACCTGAAGTCCCGGCGCCCCTTGTGACGGCCGACCTCCCGCGGCGCTGCATCCCCGCCCAGAGTCTGGCGCGCCCTCCCGAGTCGCTGATATTTTGGAAGCCGGAGTTGTTCGGTTAGTTCGGTTCGAAACCGAAACCGAACCGAACTTCGTCGGTACCGATTTTTTGGAAGAACCGATCGATACCGACTTTCCTGAAAATCGAAGAACCGAGGAACCGAGGATTCGGTTCGGTTCGGTTCGATAGTATCGAATGCCCAGGGCTTGTCGTCTGGTCGTGTGGACGTGTGGTACGTATCTACATTTCTCCCCGTTCTTGACTGCACTGTGTTAAATTTTCTCTTTGCCTACTTGGACACAGTTCGACGTGAGCGAGTGACCCCCAGTCGGTCCGATCCATCAACCAGCAGATAACTGTAGCACAGAAATCAAACGCGTAATAGTGACATTCATTAACGCCAAACTGTGCCAGCTGCATGCGCCGTGCATATGAGTATGGCCCGTTCGTCTCATATTCGTTCGACTTCTTTTTTCTGGTTGAAACAACGTTTTTCTCTCGTAACATTTCAGCAAAAACAGTGTTTTTCAGTCAATTTCAGCAAGCCGAACGGGATCAACTACTAACAGTGCCGGTCCTAGAGGTAGGGCACGAGGTGCGACGGCCGAGGGCCCAAGCCCAGGTAAACAAACTCCCAGGTCCTATAGTCCATTAGATATTAGCAAACTAATGAAAAAGAGACAGAACTGGCCAGACGAACAAAAAGACAGCATTGGCATTTCTTCCCTAGTTTCCTTTCTCCACGGCCCTCGGGTAGAGAAGAGGCGAGGAGTCACGCTACACACAGCATACTCTGATCGTGAGTTCGCGACGTGCGCCTTACAAAGACGAAGCTGGCGAGCCGCGCCGCCACGAAGAGCTAGACTACAGGAGACACGGACACGGCGCATGAGGACGGCGACCAGGCAGGGCTTCACGACGACATCTTAATTCTTGTCTTCTTACGAATTTGTTTAGGCCCAAGGTATTTTTTCCTTTTTATTTTTAATCTAAATTAATTATTTGTATAGTATTCCAGACTTCTAGTACTTTGTATTCATATAGTTATATTTTTCTTCTAATTTAGTTGT